GCTGACATGTTTATGCTATTTACAGGACCTGTTCAAGATCGTTTCTAAATCAGTCTCGCCCTGGCGATCGGGGTTGAAGGTTTAAAATGTGAAAGATAATATTGCTTCCTGCATGCCCGTACCTACTTTACTACTCTGTATCACTGTATGTGGCCTGACGTCAGCGAGAGGTGGAGCGTAGTTTCCCGTTAAAGCAAAACCAAGCAAGCAATATTCATAAAGTGGAGCCGCCTGAACGGTGACTGCGTTTTATTATTTTAAAACGGTTCCATTGGACACCATATCTTTTAAAATAAGATTCCCTTTTGATTAATTGCTAGACTGGCTATATTAAATCTAACTCATAAAAGATAAAACTAATAGAAAACTGACCTGCAAACCCTTCAATATTCGATGTTTATCATACTCTTATTTGGGAACTTTCGGTTTTGCACATAAAGATCTGGGTTAACGGTGTGAGGCGTTCCAGAAACTGACAATTAAAGTCGTCTGCAAAAGCAATATCTCGATACTGTAATTGACAATGGGGCTCCTGAAGAAAAATGTAAAAACTTTTTATTTATACTTTTTATTAATAGAATTTGAATTCAAAACAGCAAGGTTAGACATAAGGTTCTCCAGTTATCTATCGATCTCTATGAAAAACGGCAGATGAAGGTAACTACTGTATATATTTCAATCATAGAGGGGTGAAAACAGGTGATTTAGAATATAATGGTTTTAAAACATTAGGCGGCGCTCTTACCATTGCTCTTGAGAAAACCCTGACCAGATGTAGTTAAGATTTTCTTAATAACACAGAAGCACCAGACACTAGGTAAATCACAATCACAAGTACAATACTTGTTTCATAAAATAAGAACAATCCATTTTCTTATGCATACAGAGGCACACTTCAGCTTTTAAGTCCCATGTCCTTTTCAGTTTTCTTTTTTCACTTCCATCCATTTTCTAACCGATTTATGCAATACTGGAGCACATGGGAGCACTAGTCTCGGCAAGCAACAGGCACAAAGACGGATAGACACTGACAAGACGCCATCGCAGGGCACACAGACACAAACACACACACACACACTCCAGGGCCAATTTTCCCGGACGTCAATTAACCCACCAGTATATCTTTGAACTGTGGGAGGAAACCAGAGCACCTGAAGGAACGCAAGCAAATATGGATGAGAACATACGAACTCCACGTAAAAACGTCTAGAACTGAAGTCAGATTTATGGATTTATTAATTTAAACAGAGGGGAAATCCCTTGGTTTAAGCTCTTAGGGAGATGGAATAAAACAAACAGAAGAGAGAGGCATATACATATTAAAACAGTAAACTAAACAGAATTCAAATCTTGCATTAAACAAAGAGACTTCAACTTGATATAGAACAAAAACTCATTCCATAGTCTTGGAGCAGTGCAACAGAACAGGAAGGCCGGTCTCCCAATATTTGGACCCTCAGCAGTTTACTGGTGTAGTCAGAAGCCAAACAATTTAGACCAATTTATGTTTGCATACACTGCATTACAATAATCAACCCTAGAAATGACAAAAGCGTGCATTTGCTTTTCTAGATCTCTGTATAATGTCCAGATTATTGAAGATTAATATCTTCAGAGATATATACACCTCCCATGAGGGAACATACATTTTTCTCTAAAATTGAATCACAAGACACAAACTGACTCCAGATTTTGGTGAAATGGTTGGACTGAAGACTCTTCTAAACTGGATTTAAGATTACTCTTCTTTTCTGTAATTAACCTTCCTAAAAACCTATCCTTGTGCCAGTAAGTGCATTATTGTTTGATTGCTGGTGTTCCCTGAAGGGCCATGGACAGAAAATGTAATGTAAATTAATGATAGGTTAGTAGATCTCCACCTCCAGTTTTATGCCCATGAAATTTCATGGAGTGGGTTTAGTTGGTGTCCCAAGGGGAGTGAAATGTACAGTAAAATGATACTGCTCTAGTTATTTTCTAGAGCAGAGCTAACAATCTGAAATGCCACAAAGAGTAGAGGTAGAATTGGGCATATTCATGTGCTGAATAAAACCAAAATAATTTAAGAAATCTGAGAATTGTGCTCAGTCAGAGCAGTGTGGAGAGTGTATATATTTTTATGCTATAATATTGATTGTTTTAAATTAGACAGTTATGGCCCTGACCTGCTTCTGATCTTTATTTCTAAATACCTGTTGGCACTTTGCTATACCCAGTTTAATCAACTTCAGAAACACCAAATCCATTAATTTTGTGTGGCTTAATGGTGAAATTTTACAATCACAATAATACAATCTTTGCAATAATGATTTATTATCACTGGATAATAGATTGCACACTCATATTCACTGTTAGAATTTCTAAACATAAGAATATTGAATAATTGTCAAGTTACATAACCCAGTTACTCATATATAATTGATCTGAGATTGATCTGAATCAATTATGAAAATCGCCTCATCCAGCCATTTCTCAAAAGTAGCCCAGTATGTAAAGCAAAACTTTTTCTAACACCACGTTAACAATCCCCTAAAGAATACCATTACCATATCGACCATCTCCTAATTTATAATTAGAATTAATTCTATTTAATATAGAAGTTTGTCCTTTCCTTACTAATGAGATATGTTAATTCTTCCTTGGTATACCCCTAAGTGAAATATTTATTGGATATATGAACCATTTCCCTTCCATCATCTTAAAAATTTCCACGATTCTCCCATCAATTATTTATTTATTCATTTATTGTTAATTTTGATTGTAAAATGCTAAAAAGCTTTTGTTATGTGTTTTAGTTTCCATTTTAATGTTTTTCTATCTCTTGCATGGCATTTCTAATAAATAGTTTTACATTTCTTAACATTAATGTATACAGCTCTTCTTTAACTATATCTTGTTCAATATTAATTATTTATTTTAACTAATTAAACTAACGAGGCCACTGTCTAGAGTTAGGTTTATTTCCTTAAACAAACATTTGTTCAAGCAGAACTGTTTCCATTCAATTCTCTTCTTATTCTGTATCCACCATATCTGACTACTTTCTTTAAGTTCTTATTCCTTCATAACATTATTCCTTTACAGTCTACTGCTATGATTTGCCAAACTATTGATTTGGATTTTACAAATGAAGTTTCAAAGTATGCTTTAAAGAATACCATGTTTACATTTCCCATTTCCCTAAAGAGTCTTTCAGTTCTCTTTTCTCACTCACTATTTTAAATATTTTATGTCACAATAGACATTCACTCTTGTAGGTGATCTACAGTATGCACTACCTATGAAAACATGCCGTGTATCTTTTCTTGTTAATCATTTTGTAATGATATAGTAAGTCTGCAGTTGACAATAACAAGTTGATGAAATGCAAATTGATATCAGTTAAGTTAATGGTAACGGAGTATGATCCCGCTGTAATGCCCGGAAGACATATTAATCATGAAATGAGACTCCATTTTGGAATTCCAGGAATGCATACTAACTGGAATTGATTGGTAGTAAATAATATAATCCAGTACATTTTGAGGATGGTATAAATATCTTGGGTCAGCCTCTTTCTAGCTCAGCCTATGGTATTAAAGTAACACCTGAAATGTTTAATGACTGTTTTTTTATGGTAATGCATTTTTAGGGTAATGCATTCTACAAAATGTATTTGGAATTTGAAAATACCTCGTTTTCAGGACTCAGGACTCAAGTTTTAAACAATTCACATGAATACTTCAAACACTATTTATATAAAGACTTTAAATACTATTATTGTTGTTACAGTATGTTAATGGTGTTCATGTTTTCTGTTTCTGTGTGTGTTTGTAGTTATTCCTGCCTTTAAACAGGTTGTTGTAAGACCAAGAATACTTTTTTTTAGTTACATCTAAAGTTAAACATCTAGTTACATCTTAACATCATTAAACATCTTTAGTTACATTTAAAGTATAGTTAAACAGGCTTTTGTAAGACTAAAAGAAACATTATGCTGATCAAAATGTCCTCTGTAGCTTTAGACCAATTTCGAATCTGATTTGTTTTGTAGAAAACATTCTAGAGTCATCTCTCAGTTAAAAAAGACACTCAATTTTTTTTTTATTTCAAACTCAGACATACAAATGGTGGTTTTCAGCATGTGCAGTCGGAGTCTTATGTCAGTTCTCTGTTGGAGTCTCTGTACAGGTTTCCTGTATAATATAGAGTAGATTTCAAGAACTTATTGTCAACTTGCAAAGCTTTACATAATTTTGCCGAACTATGTTTGAGGGACTTTCTGTAACATTATTACCTATGTGCGATGTGTTTGGACTGTGGGAGAAACCTGGAGCAACTGGCGAAAACCTATGCAAACACAGGGAGAAACTCCCTGCAGAGAAACTCCACACAGAATACATCTCAGGGCTGGAATTGATACCAGGGTCGCGTTTTCTAAAATCCCACTAAAGTTTTAAATGTATAGACCTTTTAAGTAACTATTGTTTAATTTTTCAGATTTTTTATTTTGTTTGATGTATTCTTGTACAGCAAAATAAGATGCACAGCATACAACACTGCTTTCGTAATAGAATATGTTTCATTTATAATCCTTTGCCACAATTTAGACATTACTTTAGATATTATCTCAGAGTGAAGCTTTCACCTCTGAATTCTGGTGTCCATTAGTGATCAGGAGACCATAGCTAAACACCACCTGTAGTTTTTAGAATAGAATTGGATTTTATTCTGTTAATTGTTTTTTTTAACCTACTGTACATGTGTCCAGTTGGGTATTTTTAATTTTAAAGAGAAGAGAGGCCTTCTGTTAAATACAGGAGAAGAACCATCCCTTTTAAGTTAAAACCTGCTTAAAAAGGATCCTGTTTCATTTAATCATTTGAATGTATCACGTGAGCCTTCCTCCAGTGACACAAATGTGCTAGCTGCTTACTGTGTGGGACAGGGCTAATTCCTAAGGTTACATGACCTGCTCGTTTTGCTTAATCTCTACTAATCTTCTGTGCTAGTTCCTTCCTAGTGCTGGAATATTGCAGACAGTTTCCAGTTTCAAGAGGAATGTCCTTTTTTTAGAAATATATCCATACAGTAGCTATGTTGTTTTTTTAATCATGTATCAGCTAATTTGTATTCTTGTACTTGTTTGTTGTTTTAATGTAGTCCTTTCTTTTTGCCCGTCTCAGTGTACATGTATATACCACGGCAGAAGCGATGGAACTGGAACTAGGTATATTTTTTTCATTTTATGTTTTTAAACTATATGTATAGTAGCTAAACTTCCTATAGTTTAGTAGGTCGGATTGAAATAAACCCGCAATAATCTAGACTATAGAGTATTGAAATACACCTATCCTTTTTAGTATGACTAGTTTTCTGTTAGTTGATGGAAGCTTGTTTAGTTGTTCTAAAAGGTTTATTATGACAGCAGATATGAAAGCATCAACAGTTTATATTTCAAGTCAAAATAGCAGCATTTGCCTAACAAAGCATTTTAAAACCTTTCTTTTTGAAAGAAAAACTTTTGAAGATTGGAAAGAGATATCAAAGATAAGAATGGATATTAATTTGTATATTAGAAATAATTAAGTTTAACTCTTTAACCCACTGAATGTAGCCCTCAATCTTTTTGTAACTAATTTTGTACTTATCATGGAGTAGTACACATATTATACTGTCTTTGCTTTGATTAATACTGTAGATATAAGGATGCATTTCTGATTTTACTCTAATCTTTTATACTGATTGGAACATTCAGTAGAAAAAGGTATCTTCTAAAAAATATTTATACATTAAAAAAGCTCAGCTAGAATTTCTTTGTGTGTATATGTATATATTATACAATGTTTTTATTTCAGATGAACCAGACTGCTTCAGATGTTTTGCAGTTAACAGACAGTAAGACTTAAATGAAGGACTACTGATATTGTTCAACAGAAACCCTTTATTAGTGGGAAAGATTTTTCCAAAAATACACCTTATACACAACATACAGTATGTGTCTTCAATTATTTCAGCTCAATGAGCCTAAAGATTTTTTTTTATTATTTGGGTCATATTAGTATGTAACAATTCAGAGAATACAATTTAAAAATTGAAAGATGAGGCTACTGTCCATGATTCAAAATAGAGGAGTCTGGGTGTGAATGATAGCTTTGAGTGCTGGAAAACACTTATGTATTTATATCAGGGAACATGAGTGTTGAAGATGAGAATTGCACAAAAACATCTGAAAAACTAAACTAAGAGTGCCAATGTACCTAACAAGATCCTCATTAAATCTTTGTTTCTTTCTCAAAATTTGTTTGAACATAAAATGTGTGGTTGAAAAATCTAAAATTATTTTTAAATGCATTGCTTCAACATGTACTAATTGCACTTACTATAAATAACTTTCTCCCTCATAATTTATATTTTACTTCAAGGATCAAATGTTTTATAAGTTTTGGATTAACCTGCTTGGTTAAGAGGTAGCCTTCTGTCCATAAGACAAGGAGGCTCCACTCCTCCATTCAGAGAAAGGAGTTTACCAAGGGCTGCAAAGCTGCAGATGGGGTGGAGGCAGGAGGAATTTGAAAAAATGTAAGAAGAGTGTGCAAAAGTTATATATATATGTCGTAAATGATTGTACTGTAATTTCAAACAGCTGGGTGAGATTGGCTAGCCTGTCTCCAACCCTCCCTAACTTCTGTTGAGTAATTCTATCAAAGATTACAAGAAAATAAGAAATGAAACACTGCTTGAAAAGGTAACACTGTCTTTCAAAGCTTGATCTTCAAGTACAGACTGTTCTGCTTTTTTGTGCATTTAAAAAACATTCTTGATTCTACAAAAACAAGAATTTCTCTATGATTTTGTCCCTTTGAAAGTTTAGAATAGCTTGAGTAAGGGGTAACATTTTCTCTGGGACAAACCCTTCTGGTAATGTTACATTTTACAGAAATAAAACATTCTTCTGTTTCCCTTAACAGATCTGTGTTGTGTAATGACCCGGATATGTCCGACATCCCTGTCAATGTTCCAGTGGACACTGTTAAACTCCGCATTGAAAAAACAGTGATCCGTAGGATTCCTACTGAAGCATTCTACTACCTTGTGGACTTGAAATATTTGTGGGTGACTTACAATTCCATCTCAACTATTGATTCAAGTAGCTTTTACAACCTAAAACTCCTCCATGAACTCCGGCTGGATGGAAATCAGATTTCCACTTTTCCCTGGGAGTCCCTGCAAGAAATGCCGAATCTCCGAACTCTGGATTTGCACAACAACAGGCTGTCCACTATCCCAGCTGATGCAGCCCAGTACCTTTGGAACATAACTTATTTAGACATTTCCAGCAATAAACTGACCACATTGCCATCGGATTTAATAGACATCTGGCCTCCCTTTTCTGGTGCCAAAAGTGCCAGCACACCTCAACGAGTGATACTAGGTATGTGAGAAGCTAAGATTTTAAAAAAGACACTAATTCACTAGTTTTAACTTGTGGTTATGTTATGCCATACAGTATATCATGTGGTAAAATTAATATAATTTAGCTCATTTTTGCATTATAATAATAATAAAATATTAAGCATATGATAGACTATATATAGAGTTATATATATATATTTTTAAGCAGTCATTTTGGGCTAGAATTAGGGTTCCTATGTGGCATTGTTAGGGAAAAGATTAATTGAAATAATTATTAATTGAAATATAATTTCTCTGTATATACTGTATGTGGTCCTTCTGGATCTCAAGTCATAAACATCTTAGTTCTGATGAAAATATAAAAAAAAATCTTCATTACAGTAATACTTTTTAAATAAATCACACGAATTGAATGTTTCCTTGCACTCCCTCCAAAAGCTAGATGGTACACAATATATGTACATACAGTATAGTTTTATATGTCATGTTTTGAAGTGTTTTGAAAATTATTAATGTAAGTCAGGGCTAAGTACAGCAAACACTATAAAAATGGTTTGCACTTTTAAGGAATAGCATGATCTATTTAAATATCTGATATTCTGTAGGTCTTACGATAGCTAGTTTGTGTTCACAAGAAAGAGCAGACAGAATCACTGCTTTTAAATTGCATTGTTCTACAGTAGATTAGTACAAGGTTAAGCTCAGCTCTTGGCTCTTCCATGCAGCAGAACATAGCACAAAAAAAGAGAACAGGCTCCTTCCCAGACATCCACCCAAAACTACTAACCAGTATGTCCCAGGTCACTCTTCACACTGTGTCAAAGTGTCTGTAAGGGGTCGCAGGTGTACTAACAGTAGTACAAAATCAGGAGCAGTAATTAGAAAGACTTAAGACAGTTCACACACAGCTTGAACCCTCATCAAAGATGTCCAGTGGAGCTCAAAATCTGGTCCCATCTCCTTTCCTTTCTCAGGGGTTCATTAATGATCATACAATATCAGTTTACTGATGTTGTCTAAAAGATGTTGCTTAAGCATGTTCTTCCTTCTGGGAAAAGGTTAGGATCTGGTCTGGAAGCAATCACACATTCCCTGCAAATCCAATTCATTAACACACTTTCTGGTTTTCCCAATTTCATTAATTATCAGACTTCTTTTGAGATAATTGTCTCATGGTACCATATAAAATAAAAAAAAATTATATATAAAATAAAAAATATATGAAAACAAGTCTTAGTACTATTAGCATCCATAATGAAAAGTTACAGAGTTTAAGGTGTTACCTTCCAGTAGAGTTTGCTATTGTTAAAGTCTCAGCAACCTATAGCTTTTGGCTTTTTTACAGAGAGGTTTTGGTAAGCCAGAAATTTACAGTAACCAAATACTGGTATTAAAATGGCATCTAAATCAAAGCACCCTCAACAACATGATGCTCTCTGTTTGTGCATTTGGTTTGAAGTGTCTTAGTGTCACCTTCTGGCCTTCCTACACTATTTCCAGCAACCGAGATATAAGTAGGACATGACCAAATCCTAAAAAGAGTGGATCAGAATTACATTATGTGTGTAAAATAATTAAAAAAAGCAAAACTAAATGGTTATACTTGTGGAATGAGCTGGTATTGGATCTATAGGAAAGATCATAGAAAAATAAATTGTTTCCTACAGACCATGGTACCTTAAAGGGAGCTAGTGAAAATCTGCAAAATATTGTTCACGTGGAATAACAGCACACAACAGTTATACTTAGTCCATTTAAAATGTTAATGGAGGGTTTTAGTCATAGGGCCAACCTCCTGGCCCTAAAATGAGGAGGCTGGGTCCCCCATGCAGAGTGAGGAGTGACCCAGGGACAGCTTTTCTTTGGACTGTGGGAGGAAACTGGAGCACTCAGAGAAAAAAAACATTTGAACACAGGGAGAACATACAAACTCCAGGAACTGAACTCAGTGCCCCAGTGCACTAGTGACTGCATCACAGTGCTGTTCAAAATATTTATCCTGTTTATGTACAGTATGAGGGATTGGATGCACCACTCAACAGGTCCTTCAACAGGTTTCAGTAACAACTGGTGACTTGATTAGAACTGGAAGTCAAAATGACTTTCCTGGGCTAGACATCAGAATAAGCTGGTTAGTCATTTCTGCTTCAGTGCGTGGATATATTTGCAGTCAGAAATAACTTTGTTAATGGTTACTTAATTGGACATCATTCCTGTCACACATTACACATAACTGAAGATCCTTTTTTCTGAATCTGAAGAGAAGATAATAATAAAGAACTGGATCACCCAGGTGAGCTGCGATCACAAATCTAAACAAAACAGTGATTTTGTGGGGGGTGCGTCACGTCACATACAGTATACAAAGATTTTAGGTACGTAAATTAAATAATCTCTTGGATCTGTCTAGTGTGTGCAAACAGAAAGTAATTGCAGAAAAGGCTAGCACATCAGTGCCAAATAATCATTAACAGTATTTTCCTCGATTTTAAAAACTCACACATATTCTGTCTCCTACAGTATATATATTGTCGATATACAGTAGTGCAAGAGCCTACCAGTCACTGAAAGGACAGTAATTCAAGCTGCAGACCTTGACCTGTACCATGGTTATAAGTAATTTAATAACCAGTGATTCTCCTAGCCTGTATCATCAGTGATTCTGTCCTATTCATTCAGTACTTGAGTTACATTAAACTACTATCCCTCTGGGACAATTTATATATTCAGTGTTGCCCATAGTAAGTCTTTAACATATAATACAACAATAATTCCTATTCAAATCCTATAGCCTTCACATTATTTCTGTTTGAGGAACCTGCATCTCACTGCTATATGAAACCTATACATGCACCACAACTCAAGATACAGCTTCTCACAACATGCACTAAATGTTAGTAATCACTTGGGAAAAATATTGGTGAAGTGCTATTTTAACAGGGTTAGGAATGCCCCATTATTTATGGGTCAATATAATTTCTGAAATTCTGATTTATTTCTTGCAAGCACCTTGCTGTAAATGGGGAAGGCCTGTAAATGCTTCTTTTGTGCTATAACTGCAAAATTGAGTTGTTGTTGCTGGGAGATGAGGTCGAGGTTCAAAATGCTTCATTAACCATCAACACTTCCATTCACAATCCTCCTTATATACACTGTATATTGCATTTGTAACACTTGGTTACCACAGTTGTAGCTTGACTCTTTATTGAAGTAGTGTGTAGTGTGTGTCCACTACACACCATTAGCAAGAATAACAAGACTAACAACACTTATTTGTAAAGAACCCACAGACTGTAAGTGTCCTTTGTAATTATGTCCATTTGAATTGTGCATTGTCAAGTTTATTGACCCGACTAACCACAAGATGGAGCTGTGCTGCTCCAATGCTGAGTACCTACTTGTGCAAGAGATGGTGTTATGCTTTCATGCTGCAGTCCTTCTGTATCTCCTTGGTTGTGTTTCTACAATCGGTGTCATGTTTGGTGTAAAAAGTATTGAGTCCTTACCTTTAAAAATATATCATCAACTGATAATTTAAATATCAATACTGTTAACCAGATATTTTTACAGGTTCTCTATGTCAAGGTCTTAGATCTGTCATAATACAATCATTGGTACTGACATAGAGATGTCCTGTATAGAGCACAACAAGATGGAGAAATCAGTAGTGATTTATATAAGCAAGGGATCAATCAGTCATCTACCCCTCTGTGGCAGATCATATAATTGCGTATTTAACTACACAGATTCCTCCAAATTGAGATTCCCTCTCTAATATGAAAACTCATTATCTTAGATTGGACGGCATTAATACTAGGCTTACTGTTCACATTTTGCTTTCAAAGCGGCCTCAATCCAATTATAGTGGAGCTTTATCAAAAGTAAGATCGAGATCGTAAAAGTAAAGCTTGCCACCTGTTTCCTGGCAAGGAACATCTGCTTCAGCAAATCAACAGATATAGACTTTTCTCTCCTACATGACTGGAATTAATATTTTAATTCAATCTTCATGTACAATGAGAAATGTCTCTATCCTTTAGTTGAAGACAGTACCTGTGATTTTAATTAACAATTTTAATTAACAGTTTAAAATAAAAAGCGCATAAAAAAACTCCAGAGGTAGTTGTGTGTTTTATCAAGAAAACGATCAATTTAATGATTGTCTGAAGAGGAATCTGAAGGTATTCTCCACATAAATATACAGTAAAGTGGTAAAAAATTATTCAAATGATACAGTAAACTTACAACCAGTAACATTTTTGTTAGTGTACATATACAATCACCCATTAACAGTATTCACACCTATTTCATATATAGTAATGGATATATTTGTAATGGAATACAACTCAGCAAATTAATTTAGTGTAAAATAGAACCGAAATTAGTCTAAAACCAAAAATGTATGACCATACTTTCTTCTCTAGTAAGGAACGAAAGCTTTATCTTATCTAGTGCCTTCTGGTTTTTGCTCTAACCTGACTTATCAATTAAAAAAAATATTAAAAATAATCTAATTCTTTCTTAGAAGCATACAGTACAAAGCATCTCTACAGTTGATAACTCAAAAAATTAACTTAACTAAAAGTACAGTTCCCTCTAAACTACCTCAGGGTGTGGTTAGAAATATTACAATCCTGAAGTTATAGATGCAGTCATTCAAAATGCGTGGTAAAACCCCGTACTGCTCAAAATTATCTGCAGAATGGCACGGAATACCGCAGTATGTGATTGGCTGGCCAGAATGACCGACAGGTGGCACCTGTGGTGCATTGGTTGTTAGTGAAATGATTGCTTCATTTAATCTCTTCACTGTGCATACTTAAATCCACTTAATATGCAGTTACAGTACGTATATATAGATCAATCCATTCAAAATGAGCAAGGTATAAAGTTTAAACAATATTATTGTACGTACTGTATAGTGGTAATAGGCAATGGACTGTCATGTAGTGAACTGCACCCAGACGGTTCAAAGCCCGATCAGAGAATTACTTTGTTTCTTACATAGCTGAATATATAAAAATAGTCCACTATTATAGCTTGCTGTTGGCTATGGTGTGAGTGTGTGTATCTGGATGAATTATTATAAGTGATGGTTTCGTGATTTAGGGTTTCTTCACGGAATTCTTTAAGTTAAAGGAGGACAAAGGGTTATATTTACACGTTGTGTATTGCCTCTTCTTATATTTGTAAAAACAATCCCATTTAAATGCAATACAGAATATATTATTAATAATATTGTAATAAACTCAGGTTCTTGGGCTTGTGCTCTCACTGCTCCTGTCCTGGTTCATCCTTCACCACATGGTGTGTTAACACAGGTCTCCTGCATCACTCAATAGAGGTTTTGCCAGCTGAGCTACACAAGACCTTCAACAACCCAAGCAGCCAACATCCCTGTTATGCGCAGGGGAGTAGACGGCTGTACTGTCACTGCGCTGCAACTGGCTTGTACCATCTGTATGCCTACCATTTGTTACAATATTAATAATGAATAGCCATGGACGAGCTGTAAACTGAAGAGTTAGAGGAGACACGTTGAGTTGAATTTAACCTTTACAGCGATCCTTTTGGCTATATTTTTGTCATAGCCAGATGAGTAAAAAAAGATTGGATTAATAACTGGGGTAAGAAAAGATATTTCACACATACTTTGAAACCATACGGCTTTGGAACAGCAGGAGGCAAGACCCAGCTGTGGGGAGGGGCAGTATTTTGATTTTCCTGTGCGAAACCGTATTTGCTACAATACTATAATGAGTCCCTGAGGAATATTGTTCAAATTTTGGAATTATAAAAAATAAACTTTTGTTGAGTTTGCACAAGAGACAAAAGTTACCTTTTCAGAAGTCGTGTACTGCTTGCAAAGTAGCAGATTTTGCCAAACAGCTAATTTTCCTTGAAGAATTTAAAATCTATCTGTACTGTAGCTTTATTTAATTGAGCAGAAAGTCACCTTGCTCTTAGAAGCAGCTCTGTTAAGCAGAGTTTGTGTTAACACACCACACCTTTTTGAATGAGTTTTAATCAACTTTGTCTAGGGGGGTTGGGCAGAATGATGGAGTGTGAAATAATTAAATGACCACTGGCACTTTTCCTTCCCCCTTGGTGTGAGGTGGTAATTCGAAAATGGGCTTTTTATTTTACTGGGAGTGTGCACATTGAGTGAGCAGCAGGGCGCACAGTGAGACTAACACAGTGAGATTACTGAGACGGATAGTTTTAGTAAGTACTGTATGTTGACAAATATCTAAAATAGTATCCAACTGTGAATCTGCTACATGACCTTGCTACGTGAAATTTTTGGGAAAGGTTTAGTGGCAGCGTTACTCACAGTGTTGTGCCCATAGACTGTTAGTTTTAATATACTGTACAGCATAACAGTATAAAGCAAGTGTTATGACCCCAAGTGTCTAGGGGAAAAGGGGTGTAACATTTAGGATAATTCTTTTGGAAGCAGGGAGGTTTTGGTGAGGGACTAGGAAGCGTGATAAGGGTAAGGAACTAGAGTGGTGCCAAAGAAAAGAAAATAACAAACAAAATGGAGCTGGCTAGGACAGTGAGGGAAAGCTAATCTGACTACAAAAGAAAACCTGAAACACACGGTCTTCAGCGTCTTCAACACCCTAGCTGGCACTCAGCTGGCAAATACAGTACAATAATTTAAAAAATTAAAATGCTTTCAGAATACAGTACAATAATTTAAAAAATTAAAATGCTTTCAGAATCTACTCTATAAGGTTCTACACACACAACTGTCAGTAAGATCATCAAAACCTTCAAGAAAAAAAAATGCAAACAATTGGGGGAACAAAAGCCACACAATATACTATGAATATACTATACTATAAATTAAAAAATAACCCCTGGGATGTAACAGCAAGTATGTTCTTTTTTAATGTTTGTAATCGCTATTCTTGCAAGTACATTTTGTATTCAGTTTGCTTCTGCATGTTAGCTGGTGGGCAAACGTTCGAGATGAAAATTCTTCCACAAGGAGTGTACCTTTAAAGCAGAGAAGACTGCACCAAACGTTTTCGGCTCTCTATTTCTCTTTGGAAAATCACCCGTTTTTCATAGTTTTCGTGTTTTTAACTCATACAATGTCTGTTTTAGTCAGACACGTTATTAGACACGTAATTTCTTTAAAATTAAAAGAATCAGTTGCCCATCGTGCCACACAATATTATGTTACATTTTTATATTTTTGAGAGACTTCAGAAGGCTTCAACTGATGCATAAAAAATATAGCATAATGCCTTCTCATGTTATGAAGTCACTTGCACCTGGGATCTGCTTAAATCAATCTAAGGTTTCTAAAAATGCAACCAGGTACTAGATATTGTTTAAACAAAAGCTGTGAATTTTTTCACAAATTGCGATCTTTAAGCTTATAGGTTGCAGGCCCTGTGTCATTTGTTCACAAAGTTATTGACATCTGAAACATCGTGTCTCATAAATAAGCATTTTAATAACACTGGTAAGCCAGCTCGAACAACCTGCAATGGCGGCCATATGCATTACACTCTCCCCACCTTAATTCGCCATCCTCGGTGAAGGGTTATCCCACCCCACTTCCTAAGGTCAGACCCCACTGCTGGGGACTTGAACCCGGCCCCCTGTGTCACTCAATAGGGACCCAGCCAGCTGAGCTAAAGAGAAAGATCTCAGCCCAGTGGCTGCGGTCCCTGCTATTCACAGGGAGGGGCGGTGACTAGTAAAAGTAACTATACTTTTAAACTTTTACAACTGTAGAATCTTCTTGCACTGTACAGCTCAGGTGGTTAAAGTTCAGTCTAAGAAAGTGGATGAAGCATATGATTCAATATCTTTCACTAAACCAGTGGTTCCCCACATCAGCAGTGGCCACTGTTTCTGCTGGTCTAAATGTTTTTCTGCCCTCAGTCCTTGGTTTCAAAATCCTCTTGTTAACATGCATTATTTCCAATTCTGACTAAATAGCTCCTAATGAGTGATAAATCAATTAATGATGAACAGGTATAGTTGAGAATACTGTACCAGACAACTCCCAAGTCCCTCTGTTTAATTCCAACTGGTTATAATTCAATTACCATCCCTAATCAATGGCAGTCTGGAAACTCACTAATTAGAACAGAGTTCATTCCTATTCCAAAGCTTATTCAACTTGTTGAGTGCTAACTTGTAAAGGCATCAAACAGAAATGAAGAACTGAGAACCACTACTCTACACAACGACTCTACACAATGACCCAATGACCTTGTACAGAGCACAAAGGAAAGAGTTTTACTCTGGGGCTCAAAATCTTTTGAAAATAACAATGTGCGTTTTGTCCTCCAGGTTTGCAAGACAATCCATGGTTCTGTGACTGCAGAATCTCCAAAGTGATTGAGCTCTCCAAGACATTCGAAACATCTGTCGTGCTTCTTGATCCACTTCTCATCTGTAGTGGGCCTGAGAACCTGTCTGGAGTTCTGTTCCAGAGAGCTGAGCTGGAACAGTGCCTCAAGCCTTCTGTGATGACCTCAGCTACCAAGATTACCTCACCCCTAGGGAGTAATGTTCTTCTGCGCTGTGATGCCACAGGTTATCCCACGCCAGTTTTAATGTGGACCAGATCTGATGAATCACCAGTTAACAATACAGGTAATTTGAAGGAGGGTGAATATTATAATACAGTTTTTTATGTGTTCCTTAGGAGTGGGGGTATCAACCCTTGCACAAATTTCACTACAGACACCCTGAGTCTACAATAATCAGAGAGGAATCTTATCTTTAATGTATTTAAAGATAAGGCAAGACCTCGAGACCTTGTCTCTCGATATGGTTAATAACGCTGTATCTCAAACAAAGTTGCAAGATTCTGAAAACTTGGAATATACAGTATAATGAGCTGCTGCAAGTGTTTGAGAAGCATTTCTGTTGTTCCTTTCATTTATTTTTCATCTTGATGTGTTTTTTTATACACAGTGAATTCCCTATTAGGAAGCCAGGTTGCATTTAAAATAGGCTGCTATCTGTCACTGGCTTTAAAACAAGTAACCTTAATTTAAACCGCAGCAATATTATAAAAAAATAACTTTGGAATGATTTCTTTTCTAAATATAAAACATCACACAACTTAAAACGTTCAAACTAAAATTTAAAGTGAGCAGAGCAATTACTGAATTATTGAACAGTAGAAGCAATGTGGTGTTGCATAATGGTATGAACTTCAAAACCCCAATGCTGCTTATATAGCACACATTGATACAAGTTTCTTTGTAAGGAAAACTTTAAAATAACCACTTTTTAACTTGCAGTAAATGCAGTAAAAAGCAATGTTTAAAAGCAACTTAAAATACAGAAACTGTAACAGATTTACAGTAGTGTATCATGCAATTCTATTCTAAAATATAAAGATTCACTCACTTAAATTATGGAGAGGAAAGTAAACAAGGAAAAATCCATCACAAGTAGGTTTCATAAAATTAGATTTCCACTATCTACATTTACCTAACTTATTACTTTGGGATGCACAGAGATGTCAGGATTGACACTGAAGTTATCCAAGCTTGTATATTTGTAGAAACAGCAATTTTGATATGAATTGTTCACCAGCAATACACTTCAAAGAGAAACTCAAAAGGAAAAAATAAATTTCTCAAACATGCAGGAATACCTAACTGTTATGAGACAATATCCTATCTTTGTCTGTGAGAAACACTTTAACTATATAAAAAGCAAAATAAACTGGGATGTAAGTTTCTTGTGTAGTACCTCTCCCTGTAATAAGTCTGCTACAAAAGCATTTTTGAAATGTTTTAGAAATGTAGGACATTTTCTTAATTCTTCAACAAGGTGACCTTTATTTCTTGGAGTGTGAGTCATTCAAGACTTGCTTCAATCTGCAGTCAATTCATAAACTGGTCTGGGTCTGACCCAGATGAGCACTTGTGAGATGATTAGGATGAATGTGTACATTAACATCCACAAACACCATGTATTGTTGTTGATTTGGCAGCTGCTTTGTAGACACAAATGCCTGTGGTGAAGATACTGTAATAGTACACACATTGGGAACTCAACACTTACTTTCTACAGAGGTACAGTACCTGACTTAAAAAATAAATACCTTCCAACATTCAACTTTGTGTGCTCATCACCTTTACAGATAATCAGATCAATTTAGTATTTCAGTCAAACTGCAATAAAGGAGGAAAAGAAGTGTGATTTGAAATGTGAGCTTTATTATAGTTTCTCACCTGGCTGAGGAGAATGACAACTCATCTTTAAGAATGGGGCTTTCAGAAAAAGATTGGGGAGGTTGTGAGAAGGATACAAAAACAAACAGCAAGTAAGCCAAAATTGTAATATTTATGCTGTGCATACTGTAGGCACTGTAGGAGGAAGTGTGTTTTCATCTGCTCCCAAACCTTTCTTTAAAATTCCATTTGTCACTAGTAGAACATATAGCACAGAACTAGTGTAACTGCACTTTTTGACATTTATCTTAAACTGTGGGGTTGTGTTTTTAAAGTGATCCAGTCTTAACTAAGCAATGCTCAAAACTAAAATGTGGAAATTTGCCAAGACGTCATGGAAATGTTCTAAACTATGTTTATATACAGTATTTCTTAATCTGGGTTTACAGTTAAATAACTTATCACTAATATCTCTGGCTGTCAGGGTGGTACCATAATTCTGTGAGCCAGTGTAACTTACACCAAACTGTAGTCACACATGAAATTTTTGTGAAACATCTGGGTGACAGGTGGTGCACAAAAGGATTAGGTTGGAAATTCTCAAGTTTCCTGACATACACTTCAGATTGAACATACAAGTGCATACAAAACCCTGAATCCTTTTTCAGAAAACATTTTTCCTTTCTTAATATCACACAGTATAGTGGCATTTCTATGCTTTTTTTTCTCATAAATTGAACAGCTCAGGGTAATATAATGGGTTTTAGGAATGCATTGAATTTACTCGATAATTATATATTTTTTATCTTTGAACAGATATACTGTAGTTTTGTGGTCACTGATCTACATAATTATTCTTAAATGTCAGAATGGATTAGAAGTTCTAGAATTTTTACATGTAATTATAAGAAAACATAGAAATGTCTTGATTTGATATTATTCACCCCCTTTGCTACGATATGTCATTGAGTCCAGGTGCATCTAGATTTCTTGAGAGATCAGTCTAAAACTTGATTGGAATCTTCCTGTGGTCAGTTCAAATGGCTGACTTGATTTCAGAAGAAATACACATGTCTGTAAATGGTCTCGCAGCTGAGAGTGTTGTAGTGACAGTGGTCATAATGACAATATTTGCAATTATTCCAGGAGTTGAAAACATTTTGAAGACACTGTATCATATGACAAGTTTTAAATGTCAAGTCTTTTATAAAATTGTAATATTTGAATGCATTACAAATGCATTAATAGTATTATTTTATGTTATTTATGTTATTATTTTATGTATTGCAAAGTTTCCCAATGTTTTATATTTTTTCATAATAGTTTATATATAAAAATTAAGATATTTGACTTAAATTTAACTTTCTTAGGACTACTGTATTATTCTTGTATCTCCTATGTTTTTTTTTTCATTGAGTGCACTGCTTAAATAATTGTGACATAATTTGTTTAATCCTTAGCATGCTGCCGACAAGTAGATAGGTCCTCAAAGTCTGAGAAACTTCCAAGAACATTAAACAACTGTAAGTGAATCTTTTAAAGTTTATAATTAGCTCTTAGAAAGGGTAAGCAAGTGGGTAATATACTGTACTGACCAGATTTAACAATATGGGAAATACTTTTGAGGGTGCAGAAAATGTACTGCAGTATCAAGCAGGCTACTAATCTCCTATTATGTGTTTAAATTAATGTAGGAAATTGTTGTCACAGCAGATGCCATTGGTATTGGACAAGTCTTTGTTAGTATTCAGCTGAGATGTAGAGGCAGTTTTTTTTAAAAGCAGTATAGTTTCTGTGTAACATTGAATTAAAAAGGTTCAGAAGGAATGTTACGATCTCCAACTTTCTCTGGAGCAATCTTCAACTTTTGAGAAGCTGGTACAGACTCAAAAGTCCCAATTAAGGTTTAAAGTTGAGTCCATGACAGCTCAGCCAAAATGAAAGCCAGCAGATATGGGGGGAGTAAACATCAGAACTGGCAAAGCTGGCACTAACATTAATAGCAACAAATAAGTCTATTGTCAATAATACTACAATGGTTTACTTAATATTTTGTAAATTTAAGACTTTTAAACGTAAGAAGTTATAAAAAAATACTATCTCATACTCATACTATCAATGAGCTATCTTAGCACAAGGTTTAGACTATATACAGTAGATCGGTATTGCAATATCATGTAAAACCTGTAATTTGCATCACAAAATAGACACAGTGCCATACTGCCATCATTGTCTGCAAATCAGGCAACAAAACATCCAGTGGGTTGAACCAGCCCCGTTACATTGTAAAAAAGCAGGCTTGTGAATACAGTACATCTCTTTTAATCCAATAAAAATATTGGTATTGATCGTAAAACCATATTTAATGCACATCTTAACTTACAGTAGGTCTTAAATATAATTAGAAAAGGATCACTTAAATCATTAAGATTGATATTTTTCTATTTTTCTATCAAGCACTGATATCACCCTCTCACTGCATTCTCTTTTCATTAGTTGTTTTTTATAATAATAATAAAAATTGCTAACACTTATATAGCGCTTTTCTGGTCACTCCCCTCAAAGCGCTTTACAGGTAATGGGGACTCCCCTCCACCATCACCAATGTGCAGCCAAGTTTGCCAGTATGCTCACAACACATCAGCTATCAGTGGGGAGGAGAGCAGAGTGATGAAGCCAGTTCATAGATGGGGATTATTAGGAGGCTATGATTGGTAAGGGCCAATGGGAAATTTGGCCAGGATGCTTGGGTAATACCGCTACTCTTTTCGAGAAACGCCCTGGGACTTTTAATGACCACAGAGAGTCAGGACCTCGGCTTTATGTCTCATCCGAAGGATGGGATGGGCAAAAATGATGGGAGTGGTTCCCATCAAATTTTGGTTCCGTATCTAAAATGAAAATATATTTTATTTTAGATTATGAACTGTCAGGCTTCATAATTTTGTAAACTCCAGAATTTACAGAAACTTTCAATACACTTGTCCAATCTCAAACTGACAATATTTGAAAACCAGTCTATTTCTGTAGCAATAAAGCATACTGTATGCTTTAGACCGAGTGAATTTTGAAACTGTATTAATTTAAATATAATGGTATGAAACTGACACAAGCAAGGAGACATTTTTTTAGATACTTTATATAGAGTACCTATTTTAATTAGTGGAATTGAATTGAATTCAACATATCGACATCGAGAAGGTTTTGTGTCACGCCCGACATCCCCCCCTAGAGGGCGCTCCCATTGTTGTCCTTGTGATTGTTAAACTCCCCAGGTGTACCCTCCTAGGTTTATTATTTAAAGACTAGCTCCTCCAGTCCTTGGGGCTCATCATTAGGGTAAAGATGTCGCGAGGCCCGCCTAGCACCAGGATAACCTATGTCCGTCTCCTGAGGGCAAGCCTTATTGCCGACACCTCCCGCTTCCTGAGCCCGGGGTCTGGAGGATCATGCCTCGTCACCCTTGGACCTCAATGTTTTGTCTGTTTGTGTTTGTCTGCTAGTGAGCAGAAAGGCCAATTGCGAGACTAGCTGTTTGAGACAACATGGCAACCACAGAGTACTTTCACAAAGTTCATTTTGTGCTTAATTGTGCTTAAGAAACAATCTATGAATTAATTTTGTTATCGAGATTTCATACCTGGTCTCAGAAATTTGGAAAACAAGTTCCCCTTTAGACCTGTAGGCAGCAGATCTGTTGTCTTACTCATTTAATCAATTTAACAGAATCATTCAGATCTCAGATAGAGTGAAAACAAGGAACAAATGCAGCAATCAAGGACTGTCATTGCCTTCCCCTTGTATAAAGATACTGGGAATGCTTTGCAAGTTGCTGCTCAGTCATATTCCTCACAGAAGAAAGTGGTCTTCGAATTCTTCAGCAAAACCATCTTTGAAAAATCTGCAAAAACTTTAGTGAGAAAGATTTGCGAATATAACTGTATTCAAACTATTGTTATTGCTGGACAAATCTTCCTTTTCATTAAGCATCTTGATACCTTATTTTGCTTCAAAGAGTTTCATTTTATGAAAAGGATTTTGTTGAGGATTAAGTAAGTTTAGTTCTGTAAAGTCATTTAGATAGCAGTTGGTTGCCTTGGTATATAGATGTGCAAACACAACATTAAAGTTAAAAATACGACTAACAAATAGCTGCACTTGTTTAAATCTTACTGTAAGTAAATCTGACCATCCAATTTTACTGTATAGCTGTTGAGTGTGGTAGCATCTTTTGTTTATCCTTTTGCAACAAGGAGATTATATTTGCTTTTTTATGTACTGTTCTATTTCTTTTCATTTCTAAGTATTTAAACTAGAATTCTTAGATCCACTCGTTAAGCTTGCCAAAAACTATACCACAAGCAAATAAGGAATTCACAGAAAATTTAAATTGCTAAATGAAGAAACATACAGTAAATGGTTATCCTAGGTATCTTTATATAAATGACCCTTTGCAAACTGGTTATTTCTGACAACAATGTCTGTAAGTATGTCCAGGGACTTAATGTGTGAAGAATATAAAGCAGTATCAAAACTAAAGTTCTCTCTATACCTGATGCAAACTGACAAAAACGTGATGTCTTAGAATTGGAAATAACCAAAATCTTCATTAAATGTACATTCATTTGTACCTTTGTCATAACATGTAGGCTGTGTTATCTTGGTATAAAACATATGTGACCCACAAACATTTTTTGGGAATAACAAGTTAAATTTTACAGAGGTAAGCCATGAATGCCTTTTGAAACCATCTTGCCTTTTGGTTTTACAACTTAAGAGTTTTGCAGTTTCCTATCTGACAAGATTGTTTCATTAATTCCTAAATATCCTTGTATAATATGATAAGGTACTGTATTAAGTGCCTATTAAAATGAATAAGTGCATTGTGTGTAGTTATACTGTTTTTGACATAGCTAAGCACTTTGCAACCAAAAACTGCCAAAATGAGGAAGCAAACCAAAAGTGTCAAAAATGACCGGATGTCACAGTGCATGATCCGATACAGTGCCTTTAGAACGTCTACACATCCTACTGTATCTATAGTAACACGTTTTGTGGCCTAATTGTTATGCTGGTCAATGGGGTGAGCTAGCATTGACATGACAACTGATTACATCACCATACAACCTACCTTCCAGTGCCAGCTGCCACAGAAACAAATTGACAGGAGATCCAGACCACCTGGAAATGATTCACGACCACTCCCATTTCAAGTGGTTGAGAAAACAAAACAAAACTTGGCTCTGTCATAGAGTTCTGTCTCTGAGCTCCTTGAGGATTATTTCGTGTCCCCAACTTCATTGGACTACAGACTTCTGCTTTGCTCATGACTTGCTCCTGGATCTCTCCTGAGCTTGATATGCTTCCCTGCTTACTTGGCTTGAACTGAGTTTGTTTCCCTACGATTTCGACTTGAATTCTCCCCTGTGTCTTCCTGGTTTTGAACCTCACTTCACTGGACACAGACTCTTATAAAATCTAAAAAAAATCCTCCTTTGCTTTAGCTTGTGATCCACATTCTTACTCCCTTGCCTGCTTGACCATGATCTCGGACTATGTTTTCCTCCAGGTTTCCTATCTCTCCATAGCAGGCTGTCTGTCTGCGCACATTACTGCGCTTCACTAAAACTGTGTGTTCACAGTGCAGCTGCCTGCACAGTTCCCTGTCTCAGCTGCCTCTTGCCTAGCACGTGGTCCCACCCAACGCCTCAGGATCCGGTGCTAGACACACCTCAGCCCCTGTAAACTGGTGTTCAAATCAATTAATTTTTTATCTTTGTAGCAGGAGAAAGTTAATGAATTTGAAATACAAAAATAAAGAAATCAGCAGATTGCTGTTTATTATACTAATTATTATATTAAATGATTAGACAGCTGATTGATTCAAAAATCTCTGATTATCTTATAATTTGTTGAGATGGATATAGAGTATACTCTTGCTACAAAACTATGAAAACATTGAGTGCTATATTCAAGATTGGGGCTGCTTTTTCTAAACTGTATTATAATCTCATAGTGGGACTCATAATCTTTCAGGATGCTGATGTAAGTGATATAAGTGTTGAAATTTTAAAGTTTAGTTTAAATGAGCTGACTGTTTAAACAAACAAGTAAAGGTTTATTCCATGCTGCAAATAGAAGAAAAGAAACCCAACATTTCGGCTGTGGCGCCTTCTTCGGGTGTATTCTTCTGTTTTTAGCATGGAATAAACCTTTATTTGTTCATTTGTAGCTTACGCATGCTGACGTAGCTACCTACTTGGACTGTTTAATATTTGGATTGTATAATATTACATTTTAACTGCTTAACATGGAGCACTATAGACTTGTAGATGCTGAAAATGTTTTTATAGTATACTGTATGTTTAGGTGCAGAAAATCCAAAACTTAAAAGTAAACCGGAATAGCAAATGATTATTTATACGCTTCTATTTTTGTCTTCCACAGTTGTCCAGGAGTCCCCAGGGGAAGGGATCCGGTGGTCCATTATAAGCTTAAATGGAATTTTATACAAAGATGCGGGTGAATACCGCTGCAAAGCTAAAAACCTAGCTGGGATGGCAGAGGCGTCCATCACTTTGACAGTGGTGGGAGTGGTCACAACAACGGTGTCTCCATTGAAATTCCCAAAGAAACCAAGCGATGAGCAAAGTCCCACCAACCAGACCCAGACAGAACCTGTTATGGTCACGACCATTGCTTTGACAACCCCGTTTTCTACAACCCCTGCTCCCACAATGCAGAGCACTACACCAAGAAAGAAGTTACAACCAAACAGTCAGCAGAAGTTAATCCAGGGAGGGGAAGTGACTGGGAAGGGCCAGCCAGCGAATAATAATAATAAAACGCCACAGCAGGTGGAGAAAAAACAAAGAACGGGAAGTAATCCAGTGAACACAACATCCAGTGCTCTACGGAAACTTGCAGTGAAAAATGTACAAGTTGTAGATCAAAGCACAGAGAGCGCAGTACTGACTTGGAAGGCAGATGAGGCCCAAAGAGATCTTCCTGTCAAAGTGATTTATTCACCATTCGGAGAAAAGGAGAAACAATCAGTTAGTACTGAACTGGGGAAAAGTCAAATCATCCTGGATGGATTGAGACCTAATACAAAATACATGGCTTGCTTTATACCTAAGGGGAATCCACCGCAGAAGGACCAATGTGTCACATTTTCCACATTGGAGACTGTCAATGCGGATGGCCAGGATCACTTGCTTATAATTGTGAGCAGCATCGCGTGTGTTGTGGCGTTACCTCTTATAATCCTGCTGCTATACAAGGTTTTGAAGCTCTACTGTAAAAAAGGGCCTGCTCCTGGGGGTGAAGACCCTTCCAAGGAAATGTATGTGAAGTTTGAGACCTTGTCTCTAAAACAGAGAACCATGGGTCCAAGCACAGACCTGTGGACACGCAGGCACACAGCAGAATCTGAAAGAATGCTCCTTTGCTCTAGGTCAAGCATTGACTCCCAAATGACTTTCAAAAGTGACAGTTCCAGATCAGAATACTTGTGCTAGGTTCTGTCACTGGTGCAAATGGATGAGAAACATATAAGGAAAAATGCTGAAAAAAGACTTCTAAGGTATGGCTGCAAACAATCTTAAAAATCTTGGTAACAATGTCTTTTATGACCATCATCTATGACCCATTTGCTTTTGCTTATGTGCTTTTGGTTTAAGATAAACAAAATTATTCTGTGTAGGTTATCTTGGGTTTCTTCATGACACAGCCTTAAATATTTATTTTAAAAAAATCTCTTCAAAACAGAACAAGATGTTTAAGTTTGCTCAATGGATTTCTTTTAAAGGAACAGGCCAGGGTAATTTACATTAATATGTAAACAAATGTATGATAAACATATTTAAAATAAGTGTTAAATTGAGTCTGAACTGAAAATATTTAAAATAACATTAAAGTATTTATGTTTTTTGTTATTTTTTAGCTGTTGTACTGTTTGTAAAATATTATGGTGTGACCAGGTGATGATAGGTAGTTTTCATTATTTCAAACTTTATTCAGACTTTATTCAAACTTAATTCAAACTTTATACATTTTTTAAACCGATTTTTGCCTGACAATTTTGTTTTGCCTGACATTATTCAACGTCAACATTTAGATGATAAGAATGAACCTCAAAAACAGAGAAATCAGTGTGAATTTTATTAATCTAATAGTACTGACACAGTTATACAACAGTTTTTTGGGCAAAGTGTGAAGAGAAAAAGGAAGAAGAATGTTGCAGGATATAAATAAGGGAACATTTAAATAATGATTCATTGGTTATATTTTTGTGTAGAATATGTTGGATATCTAAAGTAGTTGTAAAAAAAACATTTAATATTTGTCAATACACCATTAGGTCTTTAGGGACAAAGTTTATTTGGCTTTTGTCCATGCTAATATTCCAGTTATATAAAATCGGCCAATGAATTAATTGGATAGAGATCATACTCTTACTTATTTAAATGGTGCTTAGAATAAAAGTGGGAATTGAAAAATGATAAAATGAAATGAAAATTGAAACTTTGTAGGTACCACTTTTATGTTAAGCGTCTCATCTGCATAAACTGTTAATTCTTATATTGTCTTCAAGCAATGTAAGAAGTTATTCAGCCACAAAAGCAAATGTGAAGCTTCTGGTAGTGAAACAGCTTCTCATTTAGATCCACAGTAAGTCAAAGTTGCACTTTGACAAGGAAACTGTGATAAAGCTCTAGTTTAACACTCTAGCTTTTACCTAGTAAAAGTCATTGATTTGACTGTATCTTATATGTCTGGATTTGGTTTTGATATTAGATATTGAACAAACACCTTTCTGTTATGTATCAATTTAAAGAGTAAAATCATATATTTTATTTTTGTATATTAGTACAGTTTTACATGATCAGTGTCTTGAGCCTGGGTCATTGCTTTTACTATATGTTCTGCAAGACTAATATTTTGAGCTTTTATCTTAAAGATGTTGATTGCGTAAGTATTAACCCTCTATTCTCTGGCAAACCTACAGATGCAGCCATTCAAAATGGGTGAGGTATTTCGCGGCATACCGCGACACGCCCACCGGGGTATCACGCAGTTCACGTGTGTCACGTGACTAACTATCCGGC